GACGTGTCCAATCCTTCATGAGAGCTTGGCGTGGGTGGGCACTGTGATCAGCATGCTCAACCTAGGGTTTTGGGACCGGGCCCCAAGGGTTTGAGGCCCGGGCTCCCAGAAACCTGGGCCAAGCACGGAGAAGTTGCGACGGGCAGGAAATCAATGGGTCCCAGTCAGGACCAACACTGCACTCCATTTGTCCATGATGAATGTGCTTGGGCAGCTCCCACCCCCGAATTCGGCGGACCTCCCCTAAAAAGTGCACGAAAAGAAGAACATTCAGAGATTGGCCAGGTATGTAGGGGTTATATACAGACTTCAGAGCCATGTGAGCGAGGCATTTATGGCAGCAGAGAGGATGGAAGACTGCTGCTTCGGCTATGGGATTCATGGGGTGTGAAAGTCCTTGGTGTCGGGATTTTCGCCAGGTCGCGGGGCTACGGGGTTTAGGTTTTTGGCGATGAGACATGCAGGATTTAGGATGTCGATGCTTGTGGGTTGCCGAATTCCGGGCCCAGAGCTAGGATTTTTTTTTGCGTTCGGGCACGTGAAGTGAGGCAATTTTGCATGCTCTCTTCCGGGTGCAAAGGTTGGTTAATCAACAGATAGTTCTGTCAAGTTCTCGTGTCCAAAGGTCCCCCCTTTGGTTAATTTTTTGGCCAAAGAAAGTTGTCCCTGTGAAGCTTTGTACGGGCAGAATGTTGGAGGCGCGGACATCAATAAGCTTGAGCGCAAACCCAGCCTGGAAAACAAGAAGCCAACCCAACACTTGAATCACTAGAAAGCCGTTGGTTGCAAACCTCCACCTTGAACGCCACCAAGCTGAGTCCGAAGCTCACAGGCTCATCGGAGCACGATGCATGTTGGACCATTTAGATGCTTTCAAACTCCTCCTCAGACTCCTGAAGCGTCAAGCCTCGCAAGATGCCAAACCTCTCAATGCGAGATGCAAGGAAAGTGTTCTGCCCCACACAAAGGGCCAAGTGAATGTCCAGGTCATGAAGGCGAGGTTTAACACTTTAAGCCTCCAAACGTTTTCGAGTCATGTATCTTTAAAGCCTTCCTGTTACATAGCGCTCGACTCGCTGCCAACCACTGGGTCCAACAAGGGTAAGCAGCTTGCGTACGACAACTGCCGAAATCCCAATTCCGAGCTTAAGCTGTTTGCCGAGGCGTCTGCGAGGCAGGCACCTACCGCAACGTCTTCGGCACCTCGGGTCAAAGTGAACCACATTTCAACTTATGAGATGGGAGTGGAGTTCAGGGGCCTTGCAGAACTTCAAAGTGAAAAGGACTTCCGACCTTTGGGTCACACAGCAACGCGCGCTTCCAGACATTGTCGTCATACCGGCCCAGTTTACAGTGCAAAATTGTACACCAGACCAAAACCCTCACGGCCCGCAACCCTGGCAACCCAAATCCAAAGCTGCTGCTGCTATTGCCTCTGCTGCCTCTGCAAGGCTTGGTACATTCTGGCATTGACAATGTCCCCATGCTTTGCCGCACAATCTGTGGTATTCAGACTCGTCGTCCTATAAACACGACTTTCAGCATGCGAGGCAGCTGCGAGCCTTGCCCCGAGGGCATGACGTGTGCTGTTAGCAGCGCGGGGGCCTCGGCGAGGTTTTTGAGTCTGTCGTGACTCGAGCTTTTTGAGGTGCAAGTTTGGGTTCCAGTGCCTGTGCTCTCTAGCTCTAAGAAGGCTGGATAGCGCAGCAAACGTTCCCTAGACCAACATGACTCAGTTGCCTTGTAGAATTTGATGAAGTGCAAGCCGGCAAGTTTCGCTCGCTTGTCACATCATGCTAGAACTCTGACGCTCATCTCTTCAGCCCATAGCCTTGTGCTTGGAGCCTTGACTCACTCTTGAGACAACTGAAGCGAAATCGAGTGCAGGCTTCTGATCCGTCAGCAGGAACCCCTTACTAAAGCCTCCGGCGTGACGTCCTTCAGCTCACTGAGCTCTTGAGTCCTGAGCCCTGAACCCCAAGCACATCCCAGCCCGACAGGTAAAGTGCTTGAAGGGGGTCTTCGGGGTGCGCGTGTAATTAAGACTGCTTACCCTCATGTTTTGAAGGAACATGGGTCTTGTTGGTCAGGCAGGGCGAGTTGTTTTTATCACGCATCATGCCAGATACATAGGGATTCATGATACGGCCCTTATGTTGGAGGTGGATACGGGAATTGT